ACGCTATTACAACAATTTGTGGGATTTATGAACGAGGATTCACTACAAGAAAATTGGCAGATTGCGACAGGTATTTTTGTAGATTATGACGGTTAAAACCGTCGCAATTTGTTTTCCACGACGGTTGCTTTACCGTCGCAGAAGTGTGTGTCCCCAACCTATTTCGCGACGGTTACAAAAACTGTTGTTCAAGTTTACGACGGGTTTGGAGCTGACATAATCAAGTATTGGTGACTATTTGATACCGCCGTGACTATCTTTTGAGTTTCTTTTAATTATTGATGGTGACGGTTCGATACTGTCGTGAATATCTTTTGAAATTGATTAAATTGTTTATGGCGACGGTTCGATACCGTCATGACTTTTGTTTATTATTTTTAATTGTTGATTACGACGGTTCGGTACTGTCGCCATGACTTTTGTTTATGTCTTGATTTTTTTTATTTTTCTATTATATATATTTTTTATTTAAATTATTATCTATGTAAAAAATTTTAAATATAGTTTTTTTTTGTGTTATTTTTTTCTTTAAATTATTTCTTCTTTAATATATTTATTTATAGTATTATTTTTTGTTTTATTTTCTATCGCTTTGTAATATAGTAAAAATAATTTCAATAAAAAATATTTAACATCAAATAAGCATTATAATATCCAAAAAAATGTGTGTTCCATAATCATGTAAAATGCGAGTTCCATAATCATGTCAAGTAGTACAAAAAACCCAAAATATATCAATTCCTAATCTTATAATAATAAGTATCATTATGCCAAAAATACATGAGAAAGTTCACAATCTAATTATCTCGATCATAGCAAAGTCTAATTTGTCCCCCCTGAAGTTCCATTATCTCCAATACGGTAGCTAGACTCAGATGAACGTCTACCATCAGCGGGTGATTCCAATCCCTAAAAAAAGGTATTAAAATAATAATCTTTAAAATAATACTCATAAAATTTAACTTTAAATGCGTCAAAATAATATACCTGTCTTCCACTAAAATTCTGCATTTGCATTAAGAGTTCAATTTCCTTTGTCCTCGCCTTGTCCCTTTGTGTTAAGAATATGATTGCCTGTGCTAATTCATCAATTTTTGAATTCTTTTCTTTAAGTGCATTAATTTCTTCTTGCAAACTCCCTGTCTGGTTCATGGATTGTTTCAAAGAAAAAATCATGGTGTATTGGGTAGGTTCTGCTATGTGACATGGAGAATTGTTTACAAGAAGTTCAGTAAAGCTTGTTATCCACCATTCTTCAGTATAAACAAAATCACTCTAGGATATTTATTCTGAAATTTCCCACTAAAGTTACCCCACAGTTTTCAATGTTTCAAATATATGTCAAATGCAGCATAGTGATATCAATTAGTATAATACAGTTTCATGTAACAGACATATATGGATAAATACTTCATATCAATATGTTTACTACATTTAGCTAGGTACTTCAAGAATATTTACTTATGTTGTGTCAGTGTGCGAGTGCGACCTTAATATTGCTTTGTACTAGGATTTTAAAGTGCTTTTGCGGTCCCGTATGAATGCGATTGCAAACATTGCAATTTTGGTTATTACAATTGCTTATAAGAATAATGTATTTGTAAAGGCAAACTCAAATTTAAGATAAAATTCTTATAAGATAAAATTCTTTAGTCTAACACTATTAAACAGTGATATAGTAAAGGCACACTCAAATTTAAGAATGAAATCATACCTCAAAGACGCACGAGGGTTTGAAGAGCAGTGAAGCAAGTGGAAGAGAAAAGTTACCTGCAACAAAAACCAAAGCAGCATATCAATAGTTGGTAGAAATCATAGATTTATCAAATAGAAATCTTATATTTTTCAACAGCTCATATCCCTTTAAATCCAACAAAAACATTATTATTTACATTCTAGTCCAGAAGACACTTCATGTTTCAGATGCATGAAAATGTGTCATCAAGATTTAGAATTAAAATTTAAAAACTATGTATTTGGAGAATCATATAAGCACCATTTGTCATATTTCCAGAATCATTTTTAGATAAAAATGGAAAGCTGTTAAGAACCATTTTTCCAGTATGTTTCCTACTTAATTCATTCTTACATGTCTCATTAATAGTTGCCCACGTTGCTCATTAATTAGTTTGACTCACGTGCCTAAATTAAACAATGTAATTACCCTTTTCATTTTACCCGAAAATAAAAAATAAAAGAATATTCTACTAGAGATTTTAAGTTAGGTGTTAGCTACATCTTTTAATACAACAAGATGATAAAAAATATTCTAAAACATCCTCTATGTCCTTACTTTTAACCTCATCCAAATAAGTAATATCTATTGTTTTTTAATTCTATTGAATCAACACTCTCTCAATCCTTTTGGTCTCTTTGTTTCTCATGAGTATATAAATAACCCAAACCTCCAAATATCTTCTTCATTCAAACTTCAAAACTCACATAAAACATATATTACACACAGTAGGCATATATACAAAATTCCAAGTGTAATACACAGTAGGCATATATTACACACAGTAGGATTAAAATATATATTACACACAGTAGGCATAAAATATATATTACACACAGTAGGCATATATTACACACACTCTTCTCTTTCAAAACCAAAACCAAAACCAAAATCTTCTATACTTCCCTCAAAATTCCTACTGTAATAAAAGTTAAATCATGCGAAGGTCATATAACTCTTTTCCCCTTACAAAACATAATGATCAATTACAGGTCATAAAAGTTGTAGAACAATTAGGAGAAATAACAGGAAACAAGAGAGCAATATTTAACCTTCTCTTTAACACCGTCAACAATAGCCCATGTGTATTTCTCCTCTTGCTTCAATTTTTCTTCCTTCAGAGCTTTCTTCTCCTGCATAAAGGGTTAAGACAGAGTCAACAATTTAAAGATAGATGACATGAATTATGGAAGGTTCAACTAGTACAAGGAAACAAGATAAGAATTCTCAAAAGAATTCAGAGTATGCAATAAACTGACTGATTCTAGAAAGCCACTCTCCAATTACAACTGAGTTCAAAAACTAACACTCCCTTCCCTCCAATTACTATTTATTATTCTGTTTTACTAATAGAATCAGTTATTCATCTGTTACAACTGTAACTACTATGTATATTCTATTTTACTTACTGAATTAGTTACTCATTTGTTACAACTGTAATAATTAGAGTTACAAGCTTAATTCCCACTTTTGCCCTTCCTAACATACACCTTTCTAACAGCTGGTCTACTAACAAATTATGGTTCTTGTGTCCTTTTTTATTTTTTTCACAGATATATAGTACAAGCATTACAAACACTGATTTCTATATCTTTTAAAGTAGCAGCTTACTGATTATGATGTTGAAATATAGGGAAACATTACAGCAACCAAAATCAGCATTGATATATATATATATATATATATATATATATATATATATATATATATATATATATATATATATATATATATATATATATATATATATATATATATATATATATATATATATATATATATATATATATATATATATATATATATTAATTTACAACTAACTAATCTCAGCAATATCAGAGCTAAACAAATCAATATGTCCTAGTAGTTGGCAGCAGATGTATTCAAAATCATAGCAAAACACAGAAACAGCCTTGTAATTATTAACGAAAGGGTCGTAACCAAATGCATATGTTAGTGTTCCATGATCTTGTGGAATTTCTAAAGAGGGTAGTTTCTTTAGTTTTCTAATGGAAGGGTTCCATAGAACAACATGAGAATTATTGGCTAAACAAATGAGACCATCACATGATGCAATTATATCATCACAGTAGTCTGGATCAATCGGAGAACAAACGAGTTGTGTGGCGTTTGTGGTGAAAAGTAAAAAGTGGTATTGATGGTAAGAACCCCTAAGGCTGTACTATTCAATTAAACATCACATATATGCATTTGAAATGAAAATTAACAGAGTTTCCATGTAGTGGATATGCAAAATCAATAGCATCCAGTTTACATATGTTGCATTAATTACACTATTCAACTTTAATCATTATATTCAACATTCACACGTTTACCTATTACACTATACGGTACGTTAATGCTTTTCGGTTTCTTATAGGATTTTCGTTTTCAATATAATTTGCATCGATTCGAGTCTGTTTTCTTATCTTGTTTCAGCAGCAGCTCCAATAAGTTCAGATTCTTATTGAAAACTTTTTATGTGATGTGAACAAGCTGGCCAGAAAGTTAATCTTCAAAAGTTAGCAAGGAAAGTATATAGGTATCCCTTTGTTCCACTCAAAAGTTAGCAAGAGTACCTTCAACTACATCATTTAAAGAGTTCAAAAGAGATTTCTTACAAATGAGGAAGGTTTGATTCCTAGTAAACAAAGAGTGCCAGGTACTTCGACTATGAAATTTCATGTTTTTGGGAGCAACATTAAGCAATCAATTTTAACTAAACCGATTGCAATGCATACAATCTACTTATGGTAACGAGTTTGGGAGAAATCATAACTTGCAAGTTCAAGATGATTCTCGATAAAGAGTAACGGTATGCATACGGAGATGTGAGAGGGTATGGGGATTATCTAATTCATTTGTATCGACTGCAGAGGCTTTGGATGCAATAGTTCTGCAGCCGCTACAGAAGTTCCAAATCCTAAGGAAAAAACAAAATGACTCGGTATAAATCATAATAATATACACAAATTTATGCATAACAAATCACAACCCCGACACAAAAATTTCTTTAAAACAACTTATATAGTTGCAAAAGCATGCAGCAAAACAGGAGATTTTTAAATTGGATCACATGTGATAAGATTAATCTAATACACTATTCATACACAACAAAGAAAACTGCCAATTTGGTGTTTCAACTGCTAGGTTCCTTTCTATACTAATGTTGTTGCTGAATCTATGGGGGTAAAGAAAAGCGAAAAACAATTGAGAGACTCATCTTGAGGAATGGTATGCATCTTGATTCGTATCTCACACATCATCACTTGGGCTCTTTCAGAAAATGTAGCTTGATAAGTGCTGGAAGTTCTGCTAACTCAACCCGAGGTTTCCCGAGTAAAATACCTTTTAACTTCTCATCACAGTTTACCATGTTCTTGTTATTTGGATCCTGCACAAGCAAGGAAACAACCAATTCTAATCACTGATTCAAAGTTTAAATTCTCCAATCCTGAAAACAGAACAATAACAACAATTACTTTGATGTGAATCAATTTTCATGAGTTGAAAAAACAAAGCAGAACCTGAAGATTGTTGGTTTTGACGTAGGACCAAACACGCATGAAACAGGTTAATCGAGAAGTCTGAGATTGACCGACGAAGTCTCTGAGAGTGAGAGGAAGGTTAACGAGATCGATCAAGTTTGCGAGCTTTTTAGGGTTATCAGTAACAGCTTTCTTCATTCGCTGAGGAAGCATTCTTCACTTCAATACACGATTTGTAATGGCTGCGAGATGGGTTTATCAAAATTCTAACTTCAGAGGAAATGTGCAACTCAATTTGTGTTTAGTTCGGATTAGGTATAAATTTAACAATAACATTGTGTTTCAACTATGTATGTGAATATTATGTCAAGCTCTATGTATATACTTTAGCTCATGATAAATGATTATTTAGGTATAAACTTAAAATCATTTTTCAACATCAATTAAATCCACATATGATGTTATAAAAGTCATGTCTTTCGAGGCATAACTATAAGTTACCCTTGGTCTAGTCCTATCAGACCGTCTCGACATCTCATAGATCCTCCTCAAGCATAATACAAATATAACAAGCATTGAGAAAAACATGAAAGATTAAATTTATTTGATTGATTAAATTGAACATAACACCATAGTCGTATCAAATTCATAGAATATATAATAATGCATAAACTTAACCTTAACAAGAGAGAACTTAAATATACATAACAATTATAATTAGATAAAATATATAAGTTAGCAAGAGATTTTTAAAGGTTTTGGGTGCGACGGTTGTTTTACCGTCGTGAAATGAATTTTAGGACGGATAATTTTACCGTCGTGAAAGGTTTAAGGGTGCGACGGGTGCTTTACCGTCGTGATATGCCTTTTAGGACGGTTAATTTCACCGTCGTGACTAGTTGTTGGTGAAAAATCAATGTTAGAAGTGTTAAATGGGGGCCGACGGTTGTTTTACCGTCGTAATAATAATATTATGATGGTTAAATATACCGTCGCAAAATAAATATTAGGGACGGTTGGTGTCAACTGTCGTAAACATTGTCTCTATATGTCAATTACGACAGTTATCACATAACTGTCGCAATTTTTGTGTCGTTAAACACTAATTTTCTTGTAGTGATTGCAATAATAAAAACCTAATTAATCTATTACAACCAAATTGAATTAATGTACAAATAATTGAAACAAATAATATGCAAGATGAATTAAATATGCAAGAAATGTAAATGCAAAGAAAAAGATTTTTGTTTTTTGGTTTCTTAAGAAAAAAAAAAGGTATTGACTTTAATCTAATTTGATAAAGAAAATAATTAGTCAATTTTTATATTATTAAGAAAAAGATTCTTGAATAAAAATCCCAATTCTACTTTAAAAGAAATGAAGTTTATAAAAAAGATATTTTTTATAGTTTTATATTTTTTTGTCTTGAAAATAATATGGTGTTTATGAAATATTTTTGGTGTTTTTTATATTAAAAATAAGTGTATTTAAATAAATAAAAACCTAGTTTTATTTTAATATTTACAAGAAAATTAATACAAGTTAATAAAGTATGATAAATAAAATAATTTTTATGTGGAAAAATAATTAAATTATGTCAAAATATAAATCTACATTTTTTATTCATTTTATGACTTTTTGTATTTTAGAAAATATATTAAAAGAAAAAGAGATAAATAAAAGAATAAAAATAAAAATGGGCCAGGGAGGTGTCATAAGCAAACAGGGTATATGTTAGCAAAAATAAAAAAAAGAATGCCAGGCCCAAAGGGCCCAACGCCTGCAAACAAATAATCAGAAAAATGTCAAAAATGAAAAAAAAAACCAAAATGGTCTCGCTGGGGCTTGAACCCAGGACCATACGGTGAACAGACGCGCGCTTTACCACTGGGGTGGCTATACATCCGTTTATATAGGCAAAACCATAAATATATATGGCAAATTGTTTTCTGAAGGAAACTTCATCTTCAACCTTGAGCCATGGCCGGACCACCTGTATCTTCCTCATTTCTCCACAAAAATGGAAACTCCAAACATGAAAGTTATAGTGTTTCTTCCCACGAATTCAAACATATAACTTATGTAAACTAAATGTCAAAGATAAAAACTAATTTTGCTGTCCCTAAACTGAAACCTAATTGTCTCAAAAATTTCAAATCCAAAATTCTCTATACAAAGTCAATATAAATGAAAATAATGAACATGGTTAGCTTTAGTGCAAGGATATCTACATTTTGTTTTCACAAATCAGGACCAAATGATTCTTGTATGAAGAGATAGAAGTTTGAGTTTTTACCTCTTGTAGCTGGAGTCGTGAATGGAGTTTGAGCAACTTTTGAGATGGCTTGAGGATCTGTTTAGCTTGCCTGGACCTCCTTGAATGTATCCCAACTCTTACTTGGCCTTGAATGTCCCTGAATCTCTCTACTCAAGTCAACCTGCAAACTTGGTTTTTGAAAATGGTGGATAGTGATGGAGGAGTTACAGTGAGGAAACAGGGGCCTGGATTGTTTTGGTATGATGTATGGAAGGTGTTTGAGTGATTAGTTTTCAAAACACACGAGTGGAAATGAAGATCATGAGTTTTGGTTCAAAACTGTGTGTTAATGGTATTCTTGGACAGGTTTTTGGTTTTGGAATGTTTGAGGCATGTTTAGGGCAATAACATTCGTGTGTCCACTTGCCAATATTGTATCTACTTATAAGCAAAAGGTTTCAAGACTTGTATCAACTCAGATTTCAAGAACTCACATGTTTTGCTTGGTTACTTGTTTTTGAAGTAAAGCTAGCAAGCATGGTTTCAAGATGAAGTACAAAGCTTGTAGGGGGGATGAGACCTTTAAGAAAACTTGTTCTGATTGTGTGGAGTGTGTTTGTGCAGAAAGAACCAATGCAAGGCTCAATGCAAGCTGACTTTGCATAAAGCTTATTTTTCTAAAATGGCAATGTTGCCTTTCTCCCAAAAATGGAATTAAGTTTGTACAATGCATTGAATGCTTGGATTAAAGTTTCCAACATCTGTGAAAACATTTAATTATGTAGTGAAAGACAAGTTTGAGGCCTTCAAAGCAGATATTATGCAGCCTAGCATGGATTTGTATTTGTGTTCATCATGAAAATGCCCTAAATTCAAGTGACAAAACCCTAATTTCATCTCTTCGATTCTCCTTGCTCAAGAATGATCTCAAGGAGTTATTGGACATTTTAGAAAGCTTGCAATGTTATCTACAAATTATCTTTGGATTGCTTTTGAATATTCCCCTTGTAACTATGTGAAAAATTGCCATGAAGTTAGGTCAAAAATCTGCCTAACTAGGGCAAAATTTCACTAAGTTATTTTTAGTTCATGAGCATGTATTCACAAAATTATAACTTGATATCCAAGATTTTTTAGGATAAATTGTGTGAAGCAAAGTTTTATATTTCATGGAGATCTACAACTTTCATGTTGAAAGTTTCCCTTGAATCACTTTGCATCATGGTGAAAATTTGGATCAAAGTTGTGAAAAAAATAAGAAATTTTCTATACTTAGAAAAATTTCTAAGTTAAGAAATTTCATCTTTTCAAAACAAAATCTTGAATTCTTGATTTATTGGTGAACAATTTTCATGTTTTTACATGTTTTGATGAATCATGATCTTTGGCATTTGATTTTGACCAAAAAGTCAAAGTTTGACTTTTTAGTATATAGTTGACTAAAAAATTCATCTGTCAATCCAATGAGCTTGTAGTGTTTTGAACCATTTCATTAGATCAAAGTGATGAAATTGGACTCTTGAGATCATGCCTTAACTCAATTGACCATTTCTAGGTCAAAAATCAGAAATTGCCCTTTCCCAGTCAAAACCCTAATTTTGACCATTTCGCCCTTTTGATGATTTGATCAAATTTCTTGAGGAGTTGTTATCCAAAATTGATCAAATTGCTACATATGAGTTTAAAATGTTGGCGTGGATAAAAAATTATGAAGTTTTACTGTAAATTGGCCATAGTTGACTTTTCTCCAATACAGCTGATTTTTAGGTCAACTATTCAATTGACTGATCAAAAGTGTGATCCAAGGCTTGAAACTTGACAAGAGTAATCTAAGGGGTCCATAATGATCCATGAAAGTCATATGGGGCCTTGGAAGTTCAAAAATCCTTGTGCAATCTCAAAACCTAATTTTCAGTCATCAGTGCTTGAGAAGGTGTCTTGAGCTGATCAAACCCTAGTGCAGTCTTGATCCAAAGGAGATCTTATGAAAATCCTTGATAAGTGAGAGGGAAAATTTTGGGGTACGACAGTTGCCCCTGTTCAATCTTCTTAAGCCTGAAGGGTTAGACTGGAGAGTTTTTCCATTCGTGACTCGAAGGTGGAAGATGATTGGACACTAGAGTGCCAAGAAATTTGCACTTGGCAATGTGATGGTAGAGGGAATGGGCTTAGAGATGCCATTTGGAGAAGTGATAGAAAGTTGTAGGAGATGGGCTTGCAGATGCCATCCAAGAGTGATTGTTGAACTGTAATTTGTAAGTTGGAATAATGAGTATTAGAATGGCGTCTGTGTCTGGAGCGTATCTGTATTGTACTTGAAAGTTGAATCAGAATGGCATCCGTGTCTGGAGCGTATTTATACTGTATCCGAGAGCTAAATTTGAATGAGTATCAGGATGGGATCCGTATCTGGAGCATTTATGAAATGTATCTGAAGAGTTAAATCTTGAACGAGTATTAGGATGGAATCCGTGTCTGGAGCGTATCTGAATTGTATCCGAAAGCAGAATCTAAATGAGTATCAGGATGGCATCCGTATTTGGAGCATATTTGTACTGTATCAAAAGATTTTGGAATTTTGTTAATGTTAGCTGTTAACCTTATCCTGAAAAGGGTAAAATGTTAGCTAAAACAATATGTTTATGTTGTATGAAATGCATAGTATAATGCATTCGTGTTATCAATGTTTATGATATATGAATGCAATGTATGCGTATGTGAGTTAGTTGTCTGGAGCGTATTTGTACTGTATCTGAGAGCTGAATCTGAATGAGTATCAGGATGGGATCCGTATCTGGAGCGTATATGAAATGTATCTGAAGAGTTGAATCTTGAACGAGTATTAGGATGGAATCCGTGTCTAGAGCGTATCTGAATTGTATCCGAAAGCTGAATCTAAATGAGTATCAGGATGGCATCCGTATTTGGAGCGTATTTGTACTGTATCAAAAGATTT